CAATAACACAAGGTCCTTGTTTGTTCAGTTAGTCATGACGGCTTAAAACACAAAAGATACTGCACAAAATTTAAAATATGTTCTATGGAAAAGTATTCCTTCTATATAATTAAAAGTTTATGTTAGTGTTGATATAGAAGGAATATTTTTCCATAGAACATATTTTAAATTTTGTGCAGTATCTTTTGTGTTTTAAGCCGTCATGACTAACTGAACAAACAAGGACCTTGTGTTATTGAAACGGCTTCGGTCGACTCTTCTTTAAAACAAGTGGTAGGAGATCAGGAAACTCAAGTTGAGCACACGGAGATCGTTCTACTAGAACGAGTTTCAGAATATTTTGTAAACTGCGAAAGAAAACCACACTAGTTATACAAAAGTTAAACAATTGTTCATGACGTAAAAAATTGTGTACACGATGTATTTGATGATAGAATATAATCAAAGAAAATTGTGATAATATTCGAATACATTGAAATTCAATTCCAGTTTCTTGTCCAAGTTGTTGTTAATATATTTATTAACGAAAAACCCAAAAAATTGCTACTTTTTTCGGTGAAAAAAATTGGAAGCTTTTCTTAACCAAATAATTATCATTTATCTATCGGTATTTTTTAGGGAAATGAATCAGCCTCTGAACTGACAAAAATAAACAAGGCGGTCATCTGATAGATATTTTTTCATCTTCGTTAAAAAAACATCACGTCTCGAAGAAATAAACTTGACCCCGATAATCCGTTCAGTTTATCGGGGTCAGATAAATTCATAATTTGCAATTGTTGTTCGATTTCGTCTAACAATGTGATAACATTGTTTTTAAGACCATAGAATTTCAGTGGATCTTTAACGAACTGATCAATTAAGGCTTTTGAAATTGTTGATGATAACGGAGGATGAGAAGTTGCGATATGCGAATCGGGTGAGGGTGTTGTATGTTTATTCCACAATACTGTCCAAGCTAGTTCGAGTAAATCATCACTTCCGTTTTTATACGTGTTTGCATCAAATGTATCATTAAGTAAGCAAAAGATCCATAAAGGGAGGTTGTCCACTTTGTTCAACAAGATTCACTTTGTTGCTAGAGAAAGGATAGATCTATAGACATGTTTTGATAATAATTCGATTTCTCTTATTTTCGTTGATGCTGTCTATCAACTTATCAATAGTCACATCACATTTCACTGTAAAGAGTACAGACATGGAAACGACTAAAGGAAAGCCAATCTTTATTCACGCTGGATATGCTTATATTGTTGATAAAACATCGGGTGATAAAACAATATAGTGTTGTGATCGAAAACATCATGAGCAGTGCAGAGGAAGAATACATACAATTAACGACAATGTCGTTTATCAATCGGCCAACACAGAAAAAGTTTTGGGTATTGCTAACAATACTTCATTGAAAAAGTCTTAAACTGTTTAGTTGCTAACAATAACTCTACATGTAAATATTTGAAATAATTTATTGAAAATATTTTTCGACTCAGATTTTTGTTGTTTGAAACTCGTGATTCCAAGTTTATGTATGCTATGAAAAGAGACGCTAAATTAAATAGAAGAGTTGATGATTCTTGAAAATAGTTGAGAGAAAAGTGCTCTGCACAAGTGGCGGTGGAAAGTATCCGCTTTAGTCACTCTCCGCGGAGGCAAGTGTCCGCGGGGGTTAAATATCCGGAAGGCAAAACGCTGGAGCAAGTGTCCGGGAGGCATCTTATCAGGAGGCAAGTTGTCGGGATTCGTTCATTTTGTGTATTTACATACAGATGCATGTCGATTTTGATGGATATGTGCTTGGTGCATATGACTGATGTAATCTTGCTCCACTGTCGGTATACGATATAGACTACAATTAAAACGATTGATACTGATCGTGCGCCATTGTGAAAGAAAACATAATAACTAAAATTTTACTTACGGATTTCGTCTTAACTTGATTTTCTTTTCCAAATGAATCGAACGATGTTGAAAAACACGATGTAGACGACTGTGTTGGCTTTAGAATATTCTGAAGTGATGTTAATGCACCTAAGAGAAAGATATAAGTGTAAAAAAGATTAATCTTTTATAACAGAGAATTGCCGGTATCGCTCAGGCAAAAAAAAAGAGACAAACGGACGATCGCGGATAATCTGTTGGAAAAAACTTTTCCGATTCACAATGATCCGAAAAAACATTAATTCTGGGATCACCTGATTATTAATTTCATCGTGGATGACCTGCCAGAAGAACTTTTTTCAAATGATTTGACCTTTAATGCACAGAAGGGTCTAGAGTGTTGTCCCGCCTCCTATGGACGTAAAGAGAAAGTGTCTAGCTAGGTGCGAATCTTTCGGGATGATATGAGTGAGATCCGTTTTCTTTTCCGATGAACTACAGTCATCCGAAAACAATGGATGATCCTGGAGCATCAAAGGATTTGAAAACTATGAAAAATGATTCCAAAGCATCCTTATCTTTAGGAGCGATTGGAAATTTTTTTTGTACGAATGCTGATTGCGCTTGATTTAAAAAGCAGCTAGATCGTGGGTAGCATTATTTGATCTGTTTTTTCCGATCAACCGACGTCCAAAAAGTTTGATTGAGCGGTCAGAGGCGGCACCATATCGAAAGTAGAGATGATTTCAGCACACACTCAGGCACCAGTACCGAAACCTTTTTTACATAAGATGTCAGCAGTATGAAAAGTGTACAGTCACGTGAGTTACAGCAAGAGCGAGGTGAAGTTTAACATATTAAGATCCGAACGAGGCATACACAAAATAAGTTCGGAACTAAGCTTATGTAGAGAACGATAGAGAGATACTCAAATCTATCCACCGTTTTCCCCTTATTTAAATGTATCTCTCGTGGAGAAATCATGTATATCAGAAGACAGATCGAAGGCTCGATACCAAACTTGGGGCCGTGTGGAAAAGGTCGAACGCCTCGATACCATAGAGGGCACTGTACCGATATCTTCAATACACTTTACGCAAAGTGTCGATATCGGTGCTGAAGTGCTAGTGATTCTCTGTTTTATATTCTTAACTTTAAGACTTATCAGAAGACAATGACGTTATATTCCCCAAAAAACTTAAATTTTCTTGTAATTCCATATGCAGTCTTTTGCGACGGAAAAACGATATAAAATTTTTGGTTGTCTCTTGAATATCTCGAGTTTTAATAAGCATTTGTACATAATCATATGGCACATTATATACCACCCCAGAATATTCTGGTGGTATTCCTTCGTCCACCTCTTGTAAAATAATTTGAAATGTACGCTCGATAGATGGTAGATCGTCAAGACTAAAATTTTTTGTAATTTCGTGAACATCACCTTGTAAATCATTTAATATTCGTTGATCGGTAATTGATGTAGATGTGCTACGGTTGGAAGATGAAGACGAACAGTTGCATCGTTGCCATAAGGAGAAACGTCTAGAACTGCTGAACCACGATTTTGTCGCTGTCGATGTTTATATGATATTTGACCATGGTGACAAGACGAATGCGGCAATTTTCGTATTGACGGTTTTCGTTTTGACAGTTGTATCCGAAAGTAGAGTGAAAAGAATTCGATAACAGCGGTGAAAAGCAAAATTAATTTTTCAACAAATTCTACTTTATCTTTAAAAGAACCGAGACTACTTGGTTATCAATAATGGATAACATTGAATAACAATCAATAATTAAATGTATAATTAATTGGCATTCTAAAACACAAAAAGCAGAAAAAAAAACGATTAAAATTGCTGTTGGTCAACCATGATTATAATACAAGTCCCTTTTAAATAGCGAGACTATCAAAGGGGAAAAGGTTGAGCATGTGTCGAAAAGTCTCAACACATCTTCAGCCAAACTTTTGTAATTTGAGAATAGTCACAAAAAATATGTAGAAGAGATTATCTCCATTCCAAAAAAACAAGTTTAAGGTATTTTTCAATGACATGCACTAAAGACACGGTAAAAATCAAGTTGTTGAGTAGGAATATTGATCACTTGATCTCTGCAAGATCAAACTCAAGCATTCATCTGAATGCTGTATGTCTGATGGTTCATAGCTGAGTACAATCCGATTGCCACTCAAAAACGGGATGACTCTTCGGCGTATAAGTTAACACTCCCCGTCAGTATTTTATGTATGTTCAGAATAACGTCTTGAGCGTTAAGCCGCTCATCAGATTTCTGAAAACCATCAAAATTCGTCTTCTATAACGTCTGGCAACATAAGAAATAAATGTAAACTTAGATTAACAACTACTGGAGCTCTTTGCAACGTCGATTTTGAGGTAAAAAATACGTTCATAGCGCTGCTATTTTATTAAAAATAAGCATTTGAGATTAAAAAAAAGACGCGTGAGAATTACACTCGATGAGCATCTTTCCAATATATACGATCTTCATAAGTTTTGAATCAATAAACGTATCTTCTGAATCTTAAGGTATATGCTAAATCGAATGGTAATGTGGATTGTTTACATTTTCACTTTCGTAATGGACTACTAAAAAATTCGGTTTTCGAGTATAGGGGTTTAAAATTAATAACATTTGCATCTGTCAAGTAATTTCACCGCTGTGCTCGTATCAAATAGGGCACATTTTCTACTGAAAAACATCTTTTGTAAAAACAAAGTATTTGTTTTTGTAGAATTTGGAAGAATTCTTTAGTAGTGGTTTGTGGTAGTTTTTCGACATGCAGTAATAGTTGAATGGAAAAAACCGAACATCACTGCTATCTCAGCAAAAAAACTATACTGATTTTACTACAGACTACAGAAGTCTTTTGAAAAAAATAAGGGAAAAAATACTAAACTTTTTCTTTTATGGAAACAAATTTGAATATATAACCATTTTTTACATTGTTATTTTAAATAGACATGTTCCAATCTGTCATTTAATAAATGATAATTTGATGAATAAGCCATTGTTTGTATCGGCATTGTACTCTTATAACCTAATGTGCATAATAAACATAAATTGCTGGAGTAGCCCCCCAAAAAAATTTAAAAGAACAGTAACAAGGTAATTACTGAGTAACTATGCAAAAAACAGAGTTTACATCACCTCTAATATGAAATTTAAAGTACAGTTTACACTATCTCGGACAAAAAACTTTCGTTACACCCCCTCAATGTCCGGCACCTACTCAGGTCCTTGAATACCACCACATATTATTTATCTACAAACAAACTACGAATACTATTAACAAAGAAAAACACTAGCATTAAAAAAGCTAAACATATTTTAGATCGATAGAGTGAAACTCAAGGAGACTTCTTGCTTTTCACCCTGACGTTGCCTAGCAAAATATTTCATTTTTAAGCCGAGTGAATAAGGGTTGCTGGAAAAGTAAAAAATATACTATATGGCGCTACCATGAATTCTAAAATTCTAGTATACACCGCTTTTATGCGGCACATGTAACATAGATGAAAGCGAACATCAGTATAGTAATAAGGGGGCGGTCAGTATTGGACTTTTTTTTTATTTAAGTTATTAAACAGGACTTCTGCACAGAAATTGATTTCTCGGTGGTTTTTTGCCAATACAAAATACATTGTAACCAATCGATATCAACAAATCATGATCTAGTACAAGATGACCATCAAAAATAAATTAAGATTTTTTCATTGTACTATAAATTAATTAATAATCTAAATTCTAAAATAAAAAATTAATTTTTCAATCAGATAAATATAATCAACTATGTTGCAACGAAAATCTTAATGGTAATTGTTTCTCACAGTTTTTGTTTCTTCCAGAAACGATCTACGAATAAAATGTTCTTTACTAGCTTTAAATTCGTCCCATTCGGTAGTGAAACAAAATTGCACTTCGGCAACATTGCCACCTGTTGCTTCACACACAGCTAATATTGTATTTAAACTTGATATACGTTGAGCAGGGAATGCGTTTGCTGCCTAAAAGTAGAGAGATTATAACTCTGAGTTATTCTTTTCTAAGATGCTTCGAGTATCAGTTTTGATAATTCTGATGCCCATGTATTTGTGATTAAAACAAGGGGGGAAAAGCATACTTCCGTACTTCTCGTCCTTCTCTGTACTTTCAGGTACTTCTCCGTACTTCGCCGTGCTTCTCTAAAGAAAGAAGTACGAGAAATACGGAGAAGTACAGAGAAGTACGGAAGTATGCTTTTTCCCCCTTGGATTAAAATCTTCTCTTTTGGTATCCAATGTTCATATACCAAACTGAGTTTTTTAACGGTTAGCGAGCCTTGAAAAACAGTATCATCACCTCCGATTAAAAGATTTCTTTTAGTCTCATATGGACCTACTCGTACTCATAATATGAAGTCTGATATATTTCCTCGTTAGTTTCAAAACTCATTTTATTTCTCAAAATGTATTGAATTAATAATAAAAACTTTTTTATTCAGGGTGCTACGTTTCAGGCTAGTTTTTATCTAAGTATTTTCTGACGGTCCTTAGAAGTTGACATAAAAAAATTTATGTCATTAAATAGAGCTTCTATTTTAATGATAATTCTTTGCTCAGATAATGATAACTTGTTTGATTCGCCTCGTCATTCAAATAAAAGTAAGTTGTTTCTCTACTGAACTAGTTTCTATCTATAAAATCTCTGTTTAACTGCTGTTTAATTTGTAATCAACATAAATCCAATGATATTTTCTAAATCAAAACGCTCAATAATCTCAAATTCTATAAGTCTAAAATGGTAAAATTCCAATATTCCAAAATTCTAGAATTCAACTAATTTTAAATTCTAACATTCTCGGAGTAACGACCAACTCTTCTAAACAGAAAAATATGACGAATTTGTTATAGCAAATTTTCTTTGGAAACTCGAAAAAACACACAATTTTTTCCAGTTTAAAATTGCTGTTCAATTTCTCTACCGCCTACCCAAAATAAAATCCTTCTTTATCATTTCTTGAATAGTTTCATCTTCATCATAAACCATAAATAAAATTGTCCTTCTTTAACGTTGTCTATCATTAGCATCAAATGTAGCAAGTTCAGTGCTTGTCTGTTGTGCTTCGTCTTCAACACCACCTTTTAGTCGTGCATGCCCATCAGATATTTTAATACTTGTCGTGGATGTTGTTACAGCAAAACAATAAAACGGAATTCATTTTGGAAAATATTTATTATATACATCAGGCATTGTTGTACAATCTGGTAATTTATCTAAAACTAATATTTTTGTTGATGTTTTTAATACTAATGCTTGATATTCACGATTACTGAATGTAACTGAACTTAAGCGCCAAAGATCCTGAAAGAAAAGATAAATAGTGAAGAAAAATGATAATTTCAGAGATGCGTTACTTACGAATTTGTTTTTAACCCCATAATTTTGGACTGATTCAGATAATTCAACAGCTGTTGTTCGTCATCTTTCTTGAATAATTTCTAATAACTCTTCTCGTGTCGATTTATAAAATTTTGAAATTTCATCGATTCATCGTTGCCATCCTAATTATTGGTCATCAGATATCATTCCTATTGTTGAAACAGATTTGATTACTATTGAAATGAAGAATATTTACGTCGTATCAAAACTGAACAGTCATATATTGGTCTCACCTGCATGTGCTAGAGAAAAGCTAGTCTACAGAATTAGAAACCGTTTACATTTACAAGTATTTCAATATCCAAATCTTTTACAAAGTTCCTAGACAAGAACAGATCTAGCGAGGACCGTTGCTTGGTACTCCAGCACGTACTCGGTATTCACACATCCTCCTCCACTTGGACACAGTTTTATATGTGTCAGCAGTTGTTCTTTGCTGCCTTTTTCATAAATTTAATCAGAGCGTCTAACCTCCGATGTCTGCAACTTTAATTGGTTATAACGTGTTATGCAAGGAGATCCTGTTACATAAGCGATCCTTATATAAGATGCCACATTGCATCATTTCGTTTCACCATACATGACATCATCACCTTATTTCGTCAGATTTTCATCTTCTTCTATCGTGCTCCTAGTACTATAAATATGTTTACGTTCTAACTAAGGAGTCAGATTGTAAGATTTATACTTTTTGTATTTTCTTTATCTCGTTATTGTCTAAATAAAACATTTCATTTAAAACCATATCAAATTCGGTGATACAAATCATGCAATCTCTGGTGACAACAAAGCCTTACAACTACAGGAAATAGAACCACATAATAGAACCGTTGTGAATCGCTAGTTTCTGTTGAAAATAACCGCCTTGATCAGTGTCTCTTTTAAAATTGACCGGCTTAATCGGCGGTTATTTAAAAAAAGGGAGTGATTCAGTCCGACCGTGCAGAATGAATAACCTCTGATCTTAACGGTTTCTGTTATTCTAAACCGCTTTGAGCTACGATTTTCGTTCGAACCAAACCGCCTTCATCTACGGTTCGATCGAAAACGGAGCGATTTTATTCAGTTGAGCACACGCCGATCTCTGCGGTTTTTAACAAAAAATAATCGGCGAGAATCGTTGTTATACCCGCGGCGATTCAGAAAAATGAAAAAAAGACACCCGCGGTTTTTACACGAGAGAGCGGTGATCGTGTCGGAAACCGCCGGTTTTTACCGGTTTTCCTGCTTGAAAATGAATCGGTGTGATCCGTATTTTGGACCGATTTTTTATATGAATTTTCGTGTACGGGATATGATTTGTATGCCCGTCGTTGATTATTTGTTTTTATAAATTTTACCTGATAGTAGTAATCCAACTTTTACATAGATGTCAGAATTCTTACATTTTGGCTTAGTTGAAAACGCATTCTGTGGAGTGTATGCTTGGTGTTCTTTACCCAATCCGTCTGTTGAACGTGTTCAGTTACTGATCCTCCTGATACTGTTATCCTCTCTAGATATTCATCAACTCCCCGAGTTGCCCGACTTATACTAACTAATGGCATTTTGAAATTGCTTTAGTAATGAGTTCTTTTGTATATCTAGAGTAGGAGTTATTTTGAATATCAAGACAGGATGAATATCTAGAGAGGATGAATATATATCAAAATTCTCCATTTTATTAACGAACTTCGTGTGATCTTCGCCCGCTGTAATGATTGGTGACGGACAACGGTTGATTGCCGATCACGTAAACAGAGACAACAATATTTTCCCCTGATGGGCGTATGAGATGTATTATGCAAAGCATTTTTATAATCGAAGAAATTGAATTGCTGTGGCATTACTACGTTTGCATAAATCGATATATAACATGCAATTCAGTCGGGTATGGCGATGTTGGCTACATACGTTTTTCATTTGCTGTTAGTGGTTTCCGTGATGATTCTGGAAAACAATAGGTTAGTCAAACTGGCTTAAATATTTTAGTAAAGCGACGTATGCACTTCAGAAGAAAAAACATTCAAAATGAAAGCACGGTCTGCGCACCGAAGTCACCTCTGGCAAGTATGATTCCGCCACGGGTTCCTACTAAATGATCATAATTTCTTTACGAAAAACAGTAGAGACTCGAATAACTTTTCGTTAGAAAGAAGAAACAAAGCGTTTTAAAACCGGATTCAATCAAATTCTTCAAAAGTTTCGTTTAGGCGGAAAAATTAAAAGAACTTCGATGTGCTTCGACAAAAAATGAAGTTGGGAGTTACGTACTTTTGCAGAACAAATTTTCATTTAATGACCAATCTGTAAACAATCGACAAGGCCTTGTAAAATGGAAGCCAGAGAGCGCATGGCCCGTTTCGCTTTTTCGGAAATGCAAATAAAGGCGCCCCACGATTTCGTAGTAACTATATCTCACTTGGTGTATTTGAAGGCTCCCATCCTTTCCCAAATGTACATGCATCCTCTATCCATGTATATCTTTCGACGACAGTCAAGGTTGTCAAGGTTGGATCGAGTCAGGTTCTTATGACAAACTTAGACAAACCCTACAATTTCACACATCAGCTGAGTACAAATAAAGTGCATGGCTGTAAGAAACGTGGTTAGAGGATGAGGGACGCCTAAGGCCGTCAGAGTCCCTCCTATGCTCGAAAATATTGTAAATAGAGAAAAACGTTTTTCAAAGAGGGTCTAAAGGAGATCTGTACGACAGAACCAAAAACATAATCTTATTGAACAAACGGAGAACATGTTGTAAAACTTATCGGAGTACTCATTAACTTGCATCGAAAGTAGCGCCGCTTCCGAGATCTTATAAGACCTTGTAACAAGAAGTTATATGATTTTGCAAGATCTTGTCAGTTCTTTTCACAGATCATACGATTTCTCATTACGAGATCTTACAAAAAAGAATTACCGACTATTCCGCGAATTGCTGTTAATGTATTCTTTTTACTTCTCTGTACTTTTCTTCGAGTACGAGAAAAGCTGATATGTAATTCATAATCTCCAATGAAAACTGAATCGGAATTATTAATGAATGGAAATTATTATGTGTACATAGCTGAGTCGCTGATCTCTTATTTAACTACGTAACATGACTGTTCCGCGAACAAACCACGACTCGAATAGTCTGGTTAAATTCTACTAAAACATATCAAGAAAAGCTCTTCGCTGATGTCAAAAATAATTGAAACCAAATACACGAAAAAATAGCTCGTGAAACATTCTATGGATCGGATCTTCTTAAGAATTTTCAAGTTACTTTTTTATGGTTCTCTGAAACGCTTTCTAAAAGTCAGATTTTCTGAAAATAGAGATTTTGCGTGTAACAATTGGGGACTTGGGCAAAAGCGTCAGATAAAATATGAAGTGAATTAGATTAGTTTTTGTTTTACATCAGATTGTAGAAAATTGAATGAAGATCATTTTACAGTTCAAAAACTGGAAAAAAGTTCATCTGTTAATTCAAGAATTGACAATTAACGCTAATAAACTGATTTTCTAACGGTCCTCAAATAAACGATTATTTCTTCACAGAAACTGAATAAAAGGAAAATGTGTTGCACACCATTCGAAAGAGCGTTTCAAATACTCTCAGATGTAATAATCAGTCATCTTTCAAGCTTATCCTTAAACCAGAAAGAACCGCTCCGAAGAAGATAGAGAGCGGACATTTTGACGATTTATCAGTACACTTTTAGTGATGTTCAGTTTTTAAATTTTTTTCAATGAGACTTTGCGGGCAATACTTTATTTAATACGCGTTTTGTAGTTCAGACTCTGCTCTTTCAAAAAAAAAGAAAGTGCAAGGTCCACAATAGTAGGAGCATAGAAAAAAACAGTGCTCGACATTTGTTACAAAACTTATGCATAACTCGTAAGATCCCTCAACGGTCCAAAAGTGAAAGGTACAATTATCCAGCATGTACAGAATGTCTGACGTGTTTCAAACTCTGTTGTAATAATTCTATTCTAAATAGTGGCCAGTCAACTTTTACAATGATTCCTCTCCACAATTTTTCATTTTGGGTGTGATAAGAAACAATGGCGACCTCCTACGGATTTTCATTTGTGTCTTATACGTATCGAAAAAAGAAGTATTTTCTTTAAGATTTTGATAGAACTTTGAAAGTATCTATCTATACCTGAACTAAAATAATCACAAAGTTTCAGTCTAAACAGTTGGTTTCATTCTGAAACATCGGACAGCTAGATCTGAACAAAAGGTTGTCCGCTTTTCAACTTTTTTTTTAGTTGAAGAAAAAGCTAGGCTTAAAACCGACTTCAGCTATCGAACTATTAGCACCGAATTCCTTATTTTTATAATTTGATCCGAACACGGAATCCAAAAATCTTGAACGTATGCTAGTTTTGTAGAGTACGCGCTTTTGTACTAAATGAGACCTTTTATAACTTCTTACGATTCCTGCTCGAAATGATTGAACTATTCTAACTTATTTCTCCAAAAATGGATCAAAATCTGCTAGCGAAAGTGCCATCTTCCGCTGCAGCGGAAAAGGATCAACTTAGAATAGTTCAACCAGTTCGAGGAAGAATTATAAGAAGTTGTGAAAGATCCCATTTTCTGCAGAAAGGCGGACTCTACGAAATTAGTATACGTTCAGAATTTTTCGATTTTCGTTTTCGGATCGAAAGTATAAGAGTATTGAACTGTTAGAGGAAGAAAACTTTAAAAAGCAAAGAGGTCGGTATTACGCCTAACTTCTCTTCGACTTAAAACACTTGGTTTTATTCAGTTTTTCCGTTCTTCCTAATGGCATGAATGAAACGAATGCAAACGTCATCCAAAACTTTATCTGGTACACCCTCACCCTCTACCAGTAAAACTAAACTTTCAAAGTGAAGATGCATTTCATCATTTTTAAGGTTCACAGTCAGGCTGAGAAAAATCAAAAATCGAAAGGTTTAAAATTTTATGGTACACTTTATTTCAACAAGTAGAAAATGTTTTAAAAAGATTTCTAAGATTAACAGAAATATAGATTTTTTATATCTGTTATCCGAATCTTATTTTACTGGAATGGACACAAGATGATAGCAATGTTTTGGCTGCTTATTGAAGTATTCCGACTAAATATAATCCAGAATTCAAGTAAGATCGTCTTACTTTATTCTTTTTCGCTAAGACGATAGAATGGTAAAGATGACAAGAAGAATAAGACGGAGTAAAAACGTTTCTTTTGCGGTAGAATCCACAAGATAAACTTTTTCTTCTCTAATTCAAGTCCGAATGTCGTTTCCATTTCTGTGAGTTAAGACAGTATTTTCAACAGAATATGGATGAAAATGACTCATTTTAAAAAAGTGATTTTTTAGGGTGAGGTGATATGTGTTAGTGAATGTCAATTTCAATTATGTCTTGCTTCCTTTTTCGGATCATTCTTACGTGGATTTTATGCAGAAGCGTTGGTGCTACAAAATGAAATTCTTTAAAAGCTAACGGCGTCTTATTAACCGACTGAAACCTTCTTTCTTCTTACAAATAAACGCCTTTTTGCTGCCAAATCTTTCGTTTCGAACTTTTTTTACTTTAACCTTTTTATGCGACCTCTAATGAAACATTCCTCAACAAGAACGAACAGAAATACAAGAAAAAACTCATACTTTTATGACTTTTCGCAATATTTTCGCCTCTTTTCAGTAATAATTCCAAATTTCTCTGCTAGAAAAAAGGTGGACCGCCTTAACATTTTTCCATAACATTATTTTTGTGTGGCGAATCGAATGAGACAATCGGCTTGAGACTAAATAAACTTTCGTCTTATGTTATCGTATAGAAGAAAAATATTCGTTTTTGTTCAGAATACTGTCTTAAAAATCAGCTTTTCTTTAGCCAGTTTACTTAAAACAGTAAATTCATTTTATTTCTCTAGAGAAAGTTTTAACGAAACAGATTTTGTTGTCGAATCAAATAATGCTCCGCAAACAAGAGAGACGGGAAAATGGATAGATAAACAGACACAAAAGAAATTAAGAAAAGAAGCAAGTAAAACTTCCAACAATTCAACGTTGTGGAAGATGGAAGTAATGAAACAATATATTTCAATGACGAAAGTGACACGATTACGGAAGAGCGTGGCCAAATTTATTGCAGTAATGAGTGATCAACAAGTGAATAAATGAATATTTAAGAATGATGAACAAACTTGTCTTTACTCCTATTCTTCTCAATACGGCTTAACGCGTCGTGGCTTCTTTCTAGGATGCCGGAAATTCAACATTTGCACACGTTTTATTTCTGTAGAATGTATACATGGTTAGATAGAGATCGAGGGCTCGATCTCTATCTAACCATGTATACATTTTACAGAAATAAAACGTGTGCAAATGTTGAATTTCCGGCACCTTACTATCCGCCCAAAAAACCAGTGCCATCGGTTGTTTTTTTAATAATGTTTGAATGGTAAGAGATAAAGAGATCGAATTTTCACTATTCGCTAGCCAAGACTTTAAACCATCTTTTTACAACGAGCAAGAATTTGAACTGCAACAACTGCCAGATAAGGTTAATTTTGTCAACTCAATGTGGTTATCCGATCGCATAAACTGAGAAACATGTTTAAATCGGGATAAATATGGCGACGGAATTATCAATTGCGTGGGTGCTACAAAATGACTACCGAAATAACATTAGTGTGGACAAAGTGTCTAAAGACGAATTGACGAATCGCAGTTTTTGGGCGTAAAAATGATGCAACAATTCGCATTTTACCATTGTTTTTGCCAATTCGCAGCGAATTCGCAATTCAATGCGAACTGATGCTAACTAACAAAAATGATCAAAAACGAACCAAAAAATTGCCTCTTTTCTTCCTTTTGCCAATTCATAAATTAGGACGAATTCGTAAGAAACAAATTTCCGGTACCTACGAATTCGTAAATCGAATTGGTCGACCATCGATGAATTCGCGAAATGATCATTTTGGTCCCTAAGAATTCGTGTACGACTTCGTAAATTGGCAAAAATACGATAAAATGCGAATTTACGAATTCTATTTACAAATTAATAGATGCCAAAGCGTAACCGACGGATTCATAAATAGAATTCGTAAAATACGAAGTGATGTCAGGGACGAGACTTTTCTCTGAGGTTAAAAATAGAGAGATTCGTCTCTTCTCGTCGACTCGCATACTTCTCATATCAATTCGTCGTTATTCTTATGAATTCGTAAAATACGAATTGATCAGTTGAATGAATTAATCAAAAAATGTGACAATAGACGAGATCAATACATGTATCTGTGCGAAACAAAACAGAGGAGAATCTCTCTCTCTTTTGTGTGCATGTGCCGAGCGGGGGAACGGGGGTAGTGAGGATGGCTGTGAGTATTTACACAACATGCCGTATTTTATGAATTCGTAAGAATAACGGCGAATTGGTATGAGAAGTATGCGAGTCGATGAGAATAGACAAATCTATCTATTTTTAACCTCAGAGAAATGTGTCCTGTCCCTGACATCAATTCGTATTTTACGAATTCGTAAGAATTACTTAGGGCAATCCAAAAGTAGTGAGGGAGGTACTTTATTTTCTTAAGGAGCGCTTCAAAAACATTTCTCTTTTAATGAACAGATAGAGCGTCTTTCGCTCTATTTTTCTATGCTATTTGATCAATATTCAACTAATATTATAATAATAAAATTTCGGTAAGATCTGTTTCTTTCGCATATGTGCTGGTAGTATGAACATGAATGCTCGTGAGTATTTTTTGAATAACTTTTGATAGCAACGAGATAAAGGACTGCGGTTTTCACCGTTGGAAAGAGGAGATGAAGACGCATTGAACCATATATTACTGAGTTTTCTAACCTGGTTTTTGCAAGGTTTTTAGTTGACCTTTTAAAGGACAACCCTATCCTGTAAGTTGTTTACAGTAAATTTTCAATAATCAGGCTAACATTCAAACCGCTAATCGAAGATCTACAAACTGCAACAGACTCAGATGTTTAAATTTAATTATTTCGGGATAGTACGTATTTTAAACGAACCTCTACTACGATTTTCTATCAACTTTTTTGTTTTTGCTTTTTTCCATGAACAAAAATTTTTCCGACGGTTAGAAAATTGAATAAAAACACTTCCGAAATCATATTAAAAAAATCAGTAATATACAGTTCGATGCGTCTTCATCTCCTCTTTCCAACGGTGAAAACCACAGTTCTCTATCTTGTTGCTATCAAACGTTATGCAAAAAGTACTTACGAGCATTCATGCTACCAGCACATATGCGAAAGAAACAGATCTTATCGAAATTTTATTATTATAATATTAGTTGAATATTGATCAAATAGCATAGAAAAATAGAGCGAAAGACGCTCTGTCTGTTCATTAAAAGAGAAATGTTTTTGAAGCGCTCCTTAAGAAAATAAAGTACCTCCCTCACTACTTTTGGATTGCCCTAAGTATCAATTCGCAATGAATTTGCAGAATGGGTTTGTCAATTCGTGGATCCATTTTTAACCGCTGGATCAGTTCGTAATACGAATTCGCTAATTCGTATTTACGAATCAATCTAGTTCCAAAATCAGTGAACACAAATTCGTGAACTAATTTTACGAATTATTGGCGAATTGATCATCATCGTGTTTGATCTATTCTCTGTTTACGAATTCGCAAGAAGAATTCGTAAGTTTTTAAGAGTATCCGTACGAATTCGATACAGTTCGCATCAATTCGGTACAAATTCGCAAAATAAGGGTAAAACGCGATTTGTTGCATTATTTTTACGCTTAAAAATTGCGATTCGTCAATTCGTCTTTAGATACTTTGTCCACACATTTCCGAAATAAAGAGGTTTTCGAAATAAAAGAGCAATGAAGCTGTTTTAAGCCATAAAACTGTGGGAATTAAAAAGAATCATCATCAGTCGACTGCAAATAATTTTGGCTTACAAGCGTCAAAAAAAGTCCGACAAAATCCAGCCTTTTACTTCCTCGCAGTGTCGGATGGACAACGCCAATTGGCGGCTAAAAGAGGCTCTAGTGAGCGCTTACAGGATTAGTCATCCGAAGCGTGCTCTCAACGACTCCGAAATCAACAATCAAAGAGCCCATTTCATTCCAAAAAGGATAGATTGGATTTTGAACTCAAAACTACAGATGAAACAATGACGTATTGTCCAAAATATTATCCATATGAATTAACAGGTCGTTATCGTTGTCTAAATAGTAGCCGATGTATTCATCGTAAACAAATTTGTGAAGGTATAAGTGATTGTTGTGTAATGATGATGAGACGGTTTGTCTTCGAGGTTCAATGCAACATGTTCATATGGAACATTTGCTTGTAGAAGATAACAGCAAGGGTAGAAAACCTCTCTGCCAATTCCGTTTTCGGCCACTGACTTTCTGCCAATTCCATAAATTGGCAGTGTGTCACAGATATCTCTGCCAATTGGCAAAAAATTTTTATAATTGGCAGAGTGTCAGTTACGGTTCTGCCAATTGGCAGAAATGTCTGTGGCAATCTATCAACTGGATTTCCTAACTTAACTTAGGGAAATTTTTTTTCATTAACTTGGAGAATTTTTTTATTCTCTTACGGTTTATAGGTTATCGCTTCTTCTAAATCCAGCATCCATTCAAATTAGACATCATGTTGTAGTGACCATCGTATTACGCATCTTGACTTGTATTATGTATTGAAGACTTGTATACTGTAAATATAGATCATTTTAATCCTTTTTCATAGCTTCATTGTGCCATCAGCCAGCCAAGTATTTTTTTTAACAAAAGAAAATAAATAACCTAACAATATGTACATGCATAGTTTTGAGTGACAAAGAAAGAGAGTTTAATATTGGTTTAGTTTAAAGAGAGAGTCTTTGTTGTTGATATTTTAGATGCAGGTTTCTTCTTTAGCGGCGTTGTTGTTGGGCATATTGTAGCTGCTGTTGATGTTATTTTATTGGCATCAGCGTTACCAACTAAATATATACACGCTTTCAAATATTTTTCAATATCTAAATTGCCATTAATATATTTTTTATTCAGTTTTGTTATTGAATGACTTATTGTATCATTTTCTGGTGCACGTGTACTGCCACTCTTTTGAATTTTACCAACGACGAGTTGCTGTACGCGTTGTTTAATTATTTGTTCTTCGATTAATAAATGATACAGAAAGAGCCATATATTAGGATGATTACCAAAACGTGCTTCAATACGATTATTATATCCTAGAATGAGAAGAAAAAAAATGTAAGTTTGGAACTTAGGAAACTTGAAAGTAACAAAATAACTTACCTTCTATCCAGTTGTTGCTTCTGGGATTCAAATTTTCCACATGCCAATATTGTATTGGAACAGATACAAGCCATTGATATTCGAAGTAACGAAGAAATTCACGGCATTGATCTGAACTCGTTGAAACATGTCTTTGTAATAACCACATTCTAATTGCTCCATCATCTCTATAACTGAGAATTAAACCAAATTGTCCAACATGTCTATACAAACATTGACAAAAATGGAACCAGCATCCAGTAACTTCAGCTTCTACAAACTGTCATTCAACTGAATTACGCTGAGTTGTTTCCAAATCAAGAATAAATCGTTTTACTTTCATTGATGAGGATTTGTTCAATGATCACTTAGTTATTTCAGACCAAATTTTATCATAAGTTGGCTGCTTTCTGTCACTAGTTAGTGCCCAAGGCAATGCAACGCCTATTTAACAGAAGACAAAAGATCAAAGTCGATAAACTTAAGTTAATTTGCGGTTTATTGCGGGTTATACACATACCTGAGGTGAGTACATTTTCTGCTGGAACAACTTTCTTCTTCTTCTTCGTTTCTTTTCTTCTATCATCATTAACATTATTATTTAATTTATTATGAATTTCAATGGACAACGACGATATTTGATCCGATTTACTGTTTAGAATATTTCTCGCAGCAGAACGATTAATTCGTTTTTCAATAAAATAAGATTAGGTTGGTGGCATAACAGACAAAAATAATATTCATAAATTAATAAATTAACAGAGTCCGAAGATGAAGAAGGCAATTGTCATTGGCAGAGCGACAGAGATCCACAACAAGTAATAATACATATATAGCACTATCACAACGTTGTGATGGTATAAATCAGTGTGTCTATGCTTGTGAGATGAATGGTTTTGTGATATAATTCGAAGAAATGTGTATAAATATTTTACATTTGATGGTTTAAATCAATATCTATCACACTTTATTGATTATGGTGAGTCAACAAAAGAACCTAACACCGAAATCATTCCAAGAACTGCTCTTCTATTAGAATGCTTGATTGTATTTTTAAGCTTGACTTGTGTGAATTGAGTTACTATTGTAATCGCGGTTCTTATTCAGTCTAAGAATACAAGATAGTACATGTTTTTATTCACCAGCATATTATGATAATAAATGTCAATTTCAACATAATTGTGTCTCCATTCACTTGCAAGTTGAAATGTTAGAACTCAATTCAAGTTTAGCTTATAGATTGATTATTTCTCTAGTGCAGCTGAATAGTGATCTTATAATTAATCAAGAAGATTTATTACATGTTCCATATAATCATATATTGAATTTTAAACATGCCTTTTGTTTGCTTTATCCAAGAGATAAAAATTCGACAACTAAAGTTGCTGTTTATACTGATATATTTTTCGTGACGGAATCAACTGCGAAATATTGATCAGCCTGCTATGTTGATGTATCATTTTCATTTTTACCAGTAAATCGTGTAGCAATACGTGTTACTACTAGTGATAATCAAATAAATTCATAGAATAGTAAAAATTGTTTTAATGGTCTATGTGAAATACCGGGTGTCCGGAAATTCATCCACCAAAAAGAAAATTTAATATCTCGGTCATTTCTCAACTAAATCGAACAATTTTTTTTTTAAATGAAAGAAATGTTCAAAGTTTTATCTTTGTTCCAGATCAATAACATGTCACATTCTTTAGAAACTAAAATTCAAGTAGTTATCCTAATGGCGAAATATGAGTCTCCTGTTATGGTTATTCGTGAACTACGACACCGAGGAACGACAAATATTCCAGAAAGGCATACAGTAACATCAATATACCAGAAATTCCTCGAAACTGGCTCGGTTGGAGACCATGCTCATACCGGAAGACCCTCAACAATAACAGAAGATAAAGTTCAAGAGATTCAACAAATTTTGGATGATGAACCTATGAACAGTGTTCGGACTGTGACACGAGAAGCAAACATTTCCAAATATCAAACACATCAGATAATGCGAGATATTATCGGATATAAACCATACATAATGCATAGCGTTCAACAGTTATATGATGAAGATATGGATATACGTGTGGAAATGTCGGAACATCTGATACCGATTCTTGAAGATCAAAGAAATAACGGAAACATTTTTTTTTCTGATGAATCAACTTTTTACGTTTCCGGGGTCGTGAACAAGCATAATTGTCGAATTTGAACACCAACCAATCCCTTCGCCACCATCGAATCTGCGATGAAGTCTCCCAAAGTGAACGTTTGGTGTGCGATGTCTAACAAGCAAATCATTGGTCCATACTTTTTTGAAGATGAAACAGTCAATCAACAAAACTATCTTCAGATGTTAAAAAATTATTTTTTTCCAATTATGCAAAGAAAAAGACTTCATAATAAGATGGTTTTTCAGCTAGATGGCGCGCCGCCGCATTTTTCCAAAGAAGTTCGTGCATGGTTAAATGAAAAATTCAATGGAAGTTGGATTGGCAGAGGTGGTCCAATATCTTGGGCACCACGCTCTCCACACTTGACGCCACTTGATTTTTTTCTATGGGGGTACATCAAACCAAAAGTATACAAAACGAAGGTCAACGATATTGCCGAACTGAAGGAAAGGATTGAACAAGAAATAAAAGGTATAAAAAAAGAAACATTGGAAAATGTTTTTGATGGTGTTGTGAAAAGACTCAAATTATGTATCGATGTAAACGGTGACACTTTCGAGCAATATCTGTAGAAACTTTTGGTACCAAATAAAACTTTGAACATTTCTCTTTCACTTAAAAAACAGATTGTTCGATTTAGTTGAAAAATGACCGAGATATTAAATTTTCTTTTTGGTAGATGAATTGCCGGACACCCGGTATATACTAATAATGTTAATCGCTCATTATCTTTATGTAAAGCTGGTTGATCAGGTAATCAATGTAATGTAAAATCATCAACAAAAGGATCTGAATTAAGCAGAAATAAATGTGTTTGTCCTTTAGGAAAATTAGGAATGAATTGCTTGACTTCATTTAATCCATGTAAATTCGCTACATGTTTTCACAATGGCCAATGTATCACATTGGATTTAAAGGGATTCAATATGTTTACATTTGTTCAAACGGATATTATGCTGATTCTTATGATTATTATATTGTGTAGCAACAGCATTAATTAACATAAAATACTTATTTCATGATATTCGTATTAGTTTTATACCTGTTGTTGTTATCTACTTTGTTGATGTTTAGAATAATATTGGTGTAACAACAGTTCAAGGTATACTCGTCTATAGAAATGTTCCATTTGATCAAATTCTTCTTTTAATAAATTAACAATTTATGTTTGTACAAATATATTTTGATACAAGTAGTGTATATGATTCTTATTATTTAGTTTGAATATTTAAATATCCAGTAAAAATAATTAAAACACAGATATTAGAATCAAATCGTTGCCCAAGTGTATATGAATTATTAGATAACACTGTTATGAATGACTCTTATTCATTAAATCGTTATAAATTCTATCCAAATGCTCGTGATGTACTTGGATCAAAATGTTTTTTTTGATGATACATACACGTGTCTTTGTGCTAATGGCGATAAAGTTGATTTTCTTATATTTAATCATTCATCGTCAAATTATACAACAAAAAGATATTGTTTCAATAATGGCCTATGTGTAGAACCCAAACAAAAAACAGTTGACATTGATTTCTCCTGTGTTTGTCGTTCATGTTATTATGGTGATTTGTGTCAATTTACTATGACTACCTCTTCCATTTCCTTAGATGCTATTGTGAGTTTAGTAATCATTGTTGGAAAATCATTGCAATCTCAAACGTTTACAATAAAATTAATTCCTGTTATCGTGATTCTACTTGTTTTAAGTGGTCTTATACTGAATATATTTTCAGTAGCTACAGTAAGTCGATCAACAAGTCCTAAAACTGATTCATACTGGTATTTTATTTATTTGTGTTGCACTGGTTAACTTGGTCTAAGTGTATTTGCGGCAAAATACATTTATCTATTACTATTAGCAGATCGTACGAGTTCATCCTGATGTTGACTATTATTGTTGTATTATACTCGGCTATTTTCTTTCATGTCTACCACCTTTGTTTGACTGTTTAACAGCTTGCGTTGCATTGGAAAGAAGTATGTGTTGTTCGTGGAGTTGCCTTTGATAAAATGTTAAGTAAAAAAGTAGGTAGTAAAATACATCTTTATTGTTGTTATACAGTTTCATAGTGTTTAACAGTATTTGGTATTCAATTTGGGTTCTACACATAGGCCATTATTGAAACAATATCTTTTTGTTATATAATTTGACGATGAATGATTAAATATAAGAAAATCAACTTTATCGCCATTAGCACAAAGACACGTGTATGTATCATCAAAAAAAACATTTTGATCCAAGTACATCACGAGCATTTGGATAGAATTTATAACGATTTAATGAATAAGAGTCATTCATAACAGTGTTATCTAATAATTCATATACACTTGGGCAACGATTTGATTCTAATATCTGTGTTTTAATTATTTTTACTGGATATTTAAATATTCAAACTAAATAATAAGAATCATATACAGTACTTGTATCAAAATATATTTGATCAAAAGCTGACTAATTTCTAGCGCCATCTATCCCTTGTACTACAGTTCAGCTTGCTGGCAAACTAAAAAATGACGTGCATAATTTCTATTTACGAGACGATATTTCATATCAATTACCAGGTAAAAGAGACACAGTTGTTATTAAAGAGGATGATGGAAGTAAAGCAACTTATCAGAAACGAATTTTATTTAATAATTTACATGAAACTTGTGAATTATTTAAAGAAGACAATGACAGCGTTTTTCTAAGTCGTTCATCGTTTGCTGAATTACGACCTCCTTTTGTCTTTCCAACAGGTGCTTTAGCACACAGGAATTGCTTGTGTTTGTATCACGAAAATATTTGTTTACTTTTAAAATCTCTTGATAAATATGTTGGTGGAAAATACTGCTCAACTTTGCAAACATTTACCGATACTTTAGTTTGGACTCTACCAATAACGAAGAATGTATGTTCAATAGTTGTTCACTTTGTCAAGATTCTTTTACAGAAAAAATTGAGGAAAACGTTACGGACGGCAACGTTAAGAGTACTTGGTCACAACGGATGATTGAAAATGATCGTGCAGAAAGAAAAGTATTTTCTGGAAATGTTGATGAAGCAGTTTTGTTATTGAAGTCAAAAGTTGAAGATTTTCTGTATCATATGTACATTAAACGAGAACAGGCAAAGTATTTTGAAAAGTTAAAGACCGAAGTTAGTGATGAAAAGATAGTACTGCAAGTCGATTTTGCAGAGAATTTCAATATGAAAGAACAAGACGAGATCCAGAAGGCTCATTGGAACACAAAACCATTGCCTATATTTACGGCTTTTGTGTGGTCAAAAGGTGAAAACTTTTCTTTTGCTGTACCATCGTTAGATGTAACACACGATAAATTTGTTGTTGATTCTGCTTTGAAAATCATTTTAAATCATATCGAAACAGTTCTTCCAAATGTTGAAGAAATAAATTGTTTTTCAGATGGTGCTGCTTCTCAGTTTAAACAACGTTTTCATTTTCGAAATTTAACATGAATTGCTAAAGAACGAAAAATAAATTTGAGTTGACATTTTTTTGCGAGTAAACATGTAGATTTTTTAGAACTTTTTAATTGAGTTTGTTTTGCTGATTATGTTTGTATTTAGATACTCGATGAAATGTAGAAACGGGTTTCAGTTAACCAAGACTTTGTAGTAAACGATAAGATGAAAAGAAAATAGTAGAAAAAAATTTACTGATAGAAACATCTGAAAAAAAGCAAAAAAAAAATACCCAGCTCGAAGGAGGTCGAGTCTTCGTTCCGAGCTGAAGAAACACTAAAGTTTAAGATAGTATGGACTTAAATTTTAGTGGCAAAGAGCCTCTAAGTGTGTCTCAAACCTATACCAGAAGCATAGTTTATTGGAGCGGGAAATGTTCAGTTTAACAGAGACTTAAGTGGTCTTCACACATGCTAATGCTGTCTTTAGTGGTTAGAGTTTTAGAAATGTCTCTTTGAACGTCTAAACAACGTGTTGAGACAAAGTCACATCAAATAAAAAGAACACATGAATTTTCGAAAGAAAGGTGTCACACCGTTACGTTTGTTTTTTGCATTTGTTTACATGTAGAAAAGATGTTATGACAAATGCTTTTTTACCATTGTGAAGCTCGTTAAAAACTCTACAAAATTCGTCTTTGCGGCATTTTATTTGGGCAGCGACTTTCGCAGAAAGTCACGGCTTAAGAACGAACACTTCAAATTTAGGATACTTGTACATGACTCCGTTACGCGATCAAAAATCTTTCCAGAGAATCTAGAATTGGATGAAAACTATTCATTTTTATAGCATAAATAGAGAGTGATGAGCTGCGTCGAATGGCGCTTGAACGAACTTTTTTCTTTTAAACTTTATTTATTTATTGATGAAACAAATAGTTATAACTAAGACAGGTCAAAAGAGAGCAAAGCCCCATTATTATCATCCTGCCTAGCTAATAAAAATGAAAAATACTAAGGAAAATAGCAGAGAAAGAATGCAAATAAAAAGACATAAAAGGAGAAGAAAGGAAGACGAGGGTCGAGTGTGCTAAGAGATGCAGACCAAATTTCACATCATAAGCCTTTTAGTTGAAAGAATATATTCAATAACAGTGCGGTACACTATCAAATACTTATCCTTTGAGAGGAGAATTTTAAGCAAGAGCAATTCACTACTTAGGGGTTGCGGCAAGTCCAAAGTTGAGAGTTTCTGTTCAAGATTATTTCGTTGCGATCGATACA